CCCTTGAACATGCTATTTTTCTCACCTTCAAACTTATTAAATATGTCATTCTTCATTTCTTCTAAATCTTTGGCTCGATCTCTTTCTCTTTGCATTTCATTCATGATCTCGCGATGCTCAGCCTTGTGTTTTATAATTCGCTCTCTTCTGTCGACCTCAAAATCTTCCATTTTTTGCTTCCCTTTCTCAAGGCTTTTGAGTAGACGGCTATTCTTCCCTTTTAGATCTTCAACTCGTCTTTTCTCAATGTTCAATTCTCTGGTCATCTGTACCGTTGATTGGCTGGGTCCTGATGCTTTTCGGGATTTGTATAACTCCTGGTAATCTTTCTGTAAGGCTCTGTACTCATCCTCACCTTTTTCTTTATCTTTTCTCAACATTGCACATTGTGATGAATGAAAGTCAATGTCAACCCCCAACATAGCTTTATCTTGTCTCATTTGCTCTAATTCTTTCGACCAGCCATCTCTTTCTGCTTCAAACTCAGCTCTCAAGATTTCAATCTCTGATGGAACTACCTTAATGCGATCTTCCATAGGAATATCCTCATTTTGATCTGGTAGAGGAATATTTTCGTTTTTTCTGACAGATCTCCATTTTTCATAATCAGGAGTTAGCATTTCCTTTGCTGATTTAGCTCGAATACAAAAAGTTGTTTTCCAAGCTGTAACGGCTTCCATGATATTTCTTTTATAATTTTTGCTGTGGAATGCGAACTCATATGACTGTAGTCCAGCAGTGACAGGTACAAATTGACGACCTTCATATTGTCTTATAACCAGAAGTGGTGCATATCCAATTCCTCCCCATAATCCGAGCAGCATTATCCAGTTGTAATCACCACACCTGTAAAAGAATTCCCTTTGGATTTGCCATGGGGCGCGCCAAACAACGTCATTGCTTTGCAAATTTCTAAAGGCATTAATCCACATATCCTTCTTAATTTCTTTCGGCCATTCCTGCTCTAGAAATTCTTTTAATGGTGAGTAATCCGTATTGAAGCGTCGGTATGAAACCTTTTCCGTCCTCCAGAAATGACTACGGATCCAAACATATAACAACTGGGTACACCCTGAGAATCGTCCACCTCCTAGTCTTCTGCAAGCATTTAACGATCTGAAGGTCTCTGCTAGGATGGCAGAAACAGGGTTAATCTTCTTTGGCAGTTGTTCAAACAAGTCTACTACTGCAGCTTCAATATATCCCAATGCTTTTGGGAAGATGACCATACCATATATACCCAGAGCAAATAGATCGAATCGTACTTTAGTGTCTGGATGACTCTGAATAAGCTCTCTGATGTTGGTCCAAGCAATGCCTTCGCTTTCGCCTTTTTGTTTTGTACGGGATGCTACCCATTCTTCTCGTACCCCAGCAATCTTTGCTAATTTAACTCGAAAGGGCTGAGTTTTAATTGACTTTGAATATATTCGACTCTCCAAAGTACCTTCAAGATGTAACAAAGTTGTATATTCTTCAATAGTAGGGACCAAGTCCTCCTTATTGAAAGTGAAGCAATTGTACCCTGGATTCCAGAATTGAACTAGGGCTCTGAGTAATTCATCATCAACTTCAACATAGAGCAAATATGGGATGTCTCCATAAGTCTGATAAAACTGCAATTTTTTGTTTGAATCCCAACTTTCCCAAATACCTCGCAAATCTTGCAGATCATTTCTTTTTAGTGAAACTGAAGCATAACTGGCCAAGTCAGATACATAATCATCTGGCAGACTATCTCCTTCTTGTCTTTGTAAATCTTCAGCCCACTGTCTTACTTCTGAGTTTAGAATTACTTGACTTGAACACTTTTTATCCATAGATGAAGGCTTTCCAATGAGACAATTAACACAAGGATCAATGTCTTTTATCCTGTATGATGCAATGCAAACAGAAAAATAAAGAACACACAAAAAAGAAAATAAATTAGTTTACATAAAAAAATTTAATAATAACATTTATTTAATTTAAACATGCTTTTCTAAATAATTTAAATAAACATGTAAAATAAATTAACAGGAAACACATAATTCATTTCTCCTGTGTGTACACCTATTTTGGACAAAATTTCGGCATGACTTCTGATTGGAAGAGTTTCTAAGGTTTTTATATGCAGGGTTTCAGAACTAGGAGTAAGGTACCCGAATTGTCCTTGTTAGTGCCCCCTTGGGTTGCTAACCCTCAATCCTAGTCCATTACAGACTAAAGTGAATCGAGTTCAATTCGAGGGGATACATTTCTCTATGCCTGACACGGAGAATAAATTCTCACGAAGACAGAGAGCATATGAACCCCGAAAGTTACTTGCTAGGTCTGACACGGAGAATAAATTCTCACGAAGACGTTGCTTTCACTTTCACTTAAAAGGGACAACTCAATTATAGAGCTTTATGTTATGCAATGCAAGTGTTGTGTGTGAGGAGAAATGTTAAACTTTTGACATAAAAATAAATACTGAAATAAAATACTTGCAAATAAAACATATAAATATTATAAAAATAATAAATATAAAAAATTTGAAAAGAAAGAATTAAAATTAATATATAAATTTTTTAATTTTTAATAGAGACAATTTATAATTAATTTTTAAAAGTTTGACCGGTCCCCAGCAGAGTCGCCAAGCTGTCGTAACCGGTTTTCGTCCGGGCACGAAATATTAATTTTTGGCGGGGAAATTAATGTTAATAAAAATTTTGAAAATAATTTGTGAGTCGCCATCGACCTTTTGGATCAGGTAGGTCGAATACCTAAAAATTTTCTTTTAAAAAAAATAGTTTTTAAGAAAACCATATTTAAAAGATGAACTGATCTGCGTTTTATAACCAAAAATTGTTCTTTTAATAATAAAAAGGGTTCGTGGTCGGTTACGTTTAGGGAAGGATTAGCACCCCTACAACGCCCAAAATTGGTACTTTTTAATTATAAATTGTCTCTATTATTAAAATTTAAAAATTCAAAAATATATTTAATTTTTAATCCTATTATTTTCAAAAATTATATTAAAATCTATCCGAAAAGAACTTCTAGGTGCCTTAAGACAGTTCTTTTCTTTGATATTGATAAATATTAATTTAAATAATATTGTTTAATTTTAAAATATCAGAATAGGACATCCAGTTGTATTAAGACTGTCCTTTTCTTCGATATATATAAAAAATATTAAAATAATATATTAAAAAAATATGATTTATTATTCATTATATATTTATGACTATATAATATAGTAAATTATTAAATATAAACAATTAAAACAATAAAAATACAATTAGAACAATATTTTTAAAAGTGGTAAATAAATGAAATATTTAAAATTAGTGATTAAATTATAGTAAAAATTAAAATAAAAAAAAACCTAATTCATAATTAATCAAAATTATAGGGTTTAAACATGTTATTTTCGTATTTTATTAATTTAGTGACTAATTTAAAACTATATAAAATTCGAATATCATATTAAATAAATTAAAATATATACTCGGGATTAAAATATTATTTATCAAAATTAAAGGACTAAATATGAAATTTATCTTAAATATATTATTAATACGGTTAATGGCTAAAATATAATTAAATAAAATGTAGAGACCAAATTAAAAGAATCAAAATTTGATTCAGTGACTAAAGGTAAAGATTACAAACTAAAGGGATGACGGAAGAGGTTAATCTTTTTATTAATTACGGACAGATCCCTCCCCAAACGGCGTCGTTTGGGGAGGGCTATTTAAGCCCATTCATAGCTGGCCCGAAGGGCCAGCAGCTCATTTCTTTCTTCTTCTTCTCTCTCAAAAACGAGAGAAGAAGCTCTCTCTTCCTTCTCTCTAGCTTCCCTCATCGGAGGGAAGCTGGTTATCGTCGGCCACCGTGGGCCACCGTCAAAACCACCGCCGGCCACCATATCCGTGGCCGGAAATTATAAATCCCACCCTAAATTAAAGCCTGGTTTTCCCTAAAGCTAGATCCGTAGGTTTTTTAGCCTAAAATACTACTGAAATGCGTAGATCTAATGTTATACCTTCGACCTTTGACTTTCCGATGGCTCCAAAAAGGCTCTGATGATCAACGGTTCCCTCGGTAAGTTTCTTTTCTTCCTTTTTCCTTTTGTTTTTGCTCTGTTGTGGTGGACTGGGATCGTTGGTAGCTGTTGTTTTCTCTGTTTTTTTTTCGGTTCTATTTCTCTCTTTTTTTTTTTTTTTTTTTTTTTGTTTCTGTGTCTCGTTCTGTCCCTCTTTTTTGTCTTGCAGGTGGTGGTGGCTTTTATAGCCACCACCGGTGCGGTCATCGGACCGGTCCGAAGAGAGGCTTTGGTGAGTCACCGGACTACCAGTGGTGACTCACCCCGTAGCCTTGGCGTGGACGGCCGGCGTTGATCTTCTGGAGCCTTCATTCGGGACGTGGCAGCGGCGGAGGCGTCGGCAGTGGGCCATTGGACCACTTGGCAGTGAGGCGGCGGCTGGGATCTGGAAGCATCAGAGGCGGCTGGGTGTGGCTAGGGTTTAGAAACCCTAGCTGAAACCTTACTAATTGTTTAGGGTTTCTGGTTGGCTGGACCGGTTCTAGTTGGCTTGTAACTGGGCCGGTCCAGTTGTAATTATTTATTAATAATAATAATAAATACTAATAATAATAATAATAATAATAATAATAATAATAATAATAATAATAATAATAATAATAATAATAATAATAATAATGCTAATAATAATAATAATACTAATAATAATAATATTAATAATAATGATATGGATAAAAAATTAATATCTTCAGTAGATATGGTTAAAAATATTATAAATAGATATTACACAAGGATAAGCTTTAATTTTCACATATTAAGGAGTTTTTTACACTTTGAAAATCTTTGGTGAGTCGAAGATCTCAAAAATGAAGACTTTCTGGGCGCATGTTAGCAAGTCTAATGGTCTCTCAGATTTTCTTCCTCGTTTCTGATTCTTTTTCGTTCTTGCCAATATGGGGGTATTCTTGGTTTGTTTCTTGATAATTACATGGAATCGGGGTCTTTGAGTCTTGATTGGAAGAAGCTGTTCGTGGGTTCGAAATATCAATCTCTCGACTTCTTTTCCCCCGAGTTACGGGATGGAGTGGCTACCGTTAAACCTCCGCCTGAGGTGATTGATGAAGGAATAGATGATTGGAATCATGCTTTAGTGGGTCAATTTATCGGTTTGGCCCCAAGCTTTGGATCTACAGAGCGAATCATTGAAATGATTTGGGGGAAATCTTCGCAAGTTAAGTTTTGTCTAGCTGGCCCTAACCTCTATATATTTTCATTCTTGGATATTGGTCTGAGGGACTAGGTTCTGGAAAATGAACCTTGGCATGTCCAGAAAAAGCCACTAATATTGAGGAATTGGGTGCCTGGTATGCAGAAGTTGAGCTTTGACCTCTCCTTTATGCCGATTTGGGTACAACTTTGTAATGTCCCATTAGAGCTTTATTCTCAGAAGGGACTAAGTTACATAGCTAGTGCTTTAGGTAACCCTTTGTATATGGACTCTATAACGGCTTCCAAGGAGAGGCTTGAATTTGCCAAGGTTTGTGTGGAGATTGAAGCTGGAGGAGTTATTCCAGATTTTATTCATGTTGTTTTAAAAGATGGGTCATCTGTGAGTATTAGGGTGCATGTACCTTGGTTACCTAAATGATGTGCTAAGTGTAAATCCTTTGGTCACCATGTTAACTCGTGTACTGAGGCTAAGTAGCCTTCACTGAAACTTAAAGAGGTCCAAGTCTGGAGGAAAAAAGGATATTAATACTATAGAATCTGGAAGTAAGGAAATTATGCCAGTAAATGCTACTGTTTCTATGGGGATAACTGAGATTACTAATACTTCTAAAGAGGTGACTAAATGTTCATATTTTCTTTCTGGCGGTGGTAACAATTGCAGGAGGCCAGTGAGTCTAATGTGGATGTTGCCATGAAGAATACTGTTAATTCTTTACAGAATCTTTCTGCTGATATGTCTACTACTGAGATACAAGAAAAGACAGTTTCTAGTGAGCATGGGAAGGCTCATGTTGATGAGGGTAATGGTATTAATCCCTTACAGGAAGTTGTTCACTCTAGGGATTTTTCTTCCCTTCGGGACTCTCTGAAGAATAAGGCAAAGGGGAGGAAAAAATATGTTGTTGGTTCCTCAAGCAAGATGGAAGTTGTGGCAGATGGTCCTAGGAAAGCTCGAGTGGCTTCTATGGGAGTGGCTATATTTCTTAATGATATAAAGACTAAAAAGAAAGATCATATTGAGAAAGCTAAGAGTATGTGGTTAACTTGGGCACTGGGAGTAGTGCTCAACCTATTTCTTCTTGATGATTGTCAGTTTCCGGAATGTTAGGGGGATCAACAATCCTCTTAAACACCTGAAGGTGTTAAGGAGATTAGATTCTTGTAGTGTGGATGTCTTCTACTTGATGGAATCTTGTATTATAAGGGATAATTCTGGTAGTTTCTCTTCTGCTCTGTCTGGTGATTGGAACTTTGTTGAGAATTATGATTTTGTTGATGGGGGTCGACTGTAGATTTTTTGGAGGAAGCATATGATGTTTTCTGTATTGAGGAGATGTAACCAAGATATTTCTATCTTTGGGACTGTTGATGGGCATAGGACAGGTATCACGACTGTCTATGGCAGTAATAATGGGGTTGTCAGAAGAGGTCTTTAGGAACATTTAAGAATTGTTGAGAATGATATTGGATCCTCCTCCTGGGTGATTGGTGTGGATTTTAACATCATTGCTAAAGCTGAGAAGAACTCTGACTTTGATGTCATGAGAGTCCATTGCACCTCTAACATGAAGGATTTTCAAGAATGTTTGGAGGGCCTTGACCTTATGGACCACCCATTTCTTGGGCCTTTATTCACTTGGTCCAACAAACAAGAAGGATCTTATTTAGCTCGTAAGTTGGACAGGGTTTTAGTTAATGATCAGCGGCTGCTGGATTATCCTGAATCTTTTGTTGAATTCAAAGCCCAGGGAGTTTCTGATCATTGCCTTGGATTATTATGGACACAAAAGGGAGTTATGACTAAGTATCCTCTGCCTTTCAAGTTTTTCAATTGTTGGACTGGCCATGAAAAGTTCTTGGCCACTGTTAGGGATTTTTGGCAGGGTCAATGTGGAGGATATGCCATGAGCTATCTATTTAATAAGGAGTTTTAGTTAATGATCAGCGGCTGCTGGATTATCCTGAATCTTTTGTTGAATTCAAAGCCCAGGGAGTTTCTGATCATTGCCTTGGATTATTATGGACACAAAAGGGAGTTATGACTAAGTATCCTCTGCCTTTTAAGTTTTTCAATTGTTGGACTGGCCATGAAAAGTTCTTGGCCACTGTTAGGGATTTTTGGCAGGGTCAATGTGGAGGATCTGCCATGAGCTATCTATTTAACAAGTTAAGAAATCTTAAGCCTCTCCTGAAGGAGTTTAATAAGGAGTATTTCTCTGATATTTCTGGTAGATTCAGTAACAAAAGTGCTGAATTAGAGAAAATCCAAATCTTTAATTTGGCTCATACTGATAAGAGGAGGATTGATGATGAAAGGAGGATTCATGTTGAGTTAGTGGACTTGGAAGTTGCTGAATCTGAATTTTACAGACAAAAAGCCAAAGTACATTGACTAAAAGAGGGGGACTTGAATACCAGGTTCTTTCACCAGAGGGTTCAGTCTAACAAGAAAAGAAACACTATAAGAATACCAGGTTCTTTCACCAGAGGGTTCTTTTGAGTGTCCATATAACCCATAATCTAGCTTCTATATTGGAAACTACAGCATGAACAACAATGTAATTTCTAACACATACATACCGTCCTGGATGGAGCACCCTAATTTCTCATGGGCAACCCAAACAATGCCCTCAATCAGAATAATCATAATTCATAACCATCGGGATTTCAACAGAACATGCGAAGGCAACATATGCCACAACAACAATCAACACCATCTAGTTCTTTAGAAAATACTCTCAAATCTTTTATGTTAAAAACTGAATCTTACATGGTTGAGAATAGTATTTTCATGAAAATGACTAATGCTTTTATTAACAAGATTGAGATGAGACTACAGAACCAAGAGGCAGCTTTGAAATCCTTGGAGACACAGATCAGACAACTTGCGTATAATTTGATACCAGGCCACTAGGTGGTTTACCCAATGATACTGAGGTCACAACGGGAGTAGGCCACGAGCAATGTAAGGTAATCACCACCCGAAATGGACGAAAGCTAACTGAAACCCCTACACAGCCTACGGGGAGAACTTAACCAGCAAAGTAGATCCTTGTCCAAGAAAATACATCCAACAACATTGCCCCAGTTGATATTGATAAATCGAAGGATGCCCGAGCAAGTCCACATATCTCAACAATTCCAAATACAGTGACAATTCCATCAATCAAATTCCAAACAGTTGGGAAAGATGAGGAATTATGAATTTCACCGCCATTCCCTCAGAGGTTGAAAAGACAAAAACAACAATGCCAGTTCAAGAAATTATTGGAGATCTTCACATCAACTTGCCATTGGTTGAGGCGATCAAGCAAATACCGAACTATGCTAAGTACCTTAAAGTCATTGTCTCTAAAAGAACAAGGATAAGAGAGTCTGAAACAGTTACTGTGATGAAGGGATGTATGGCCATGTTGCATAACCGAATGCCACCCAAACTAAAAGATCTCGATAGCTTCACAATACCATGTACAATCGAAAATTGTTACGTCGGAAATTCATTATGCAATCTTGGAGCGAGTATAAATCTTATGCCTAAATTTGTGTTCCGAATATTGGGTATCGGGAAGGAGAAATCTACGTCAGTTATGCTACAACTTGAAGACAAATCCTATGTGCAACCAGAGGGAAAAATTAAAGGTATACTTGTAAAAGTTGATAAATTTATTTTTCCAACTGACTTCATTGTTATGGATTGTGAAGCAGATGAATTTACATCTATTATCCTTGGAAGACAATTCCTAGCAACATGAAGAACCTTAATTGATATCGAAAGGAGAGAACTCACTATGAGAGTGAATGACCAACAAGTCAAACTGAATGTTTTTCTAAAATTAAAGCATTTTGACGATCCAGAAGAATGCCATGTCATTCAAGCCACCACCGAATTCAATTTTGAAGTAGAGAAGAATTGTTAAGGCAAATCTATTGACGAACCGGAGAAAATTGAAGAACCGGATGATGAAGAGCAAGATGAAGCCCACTTGATGGTAAATCGACCGAGTAAATATTTCAAACCATTAGATTACTCTGGTAAGGAAGGTAAACTCGAAAAATATTCTATTGAGCAACCTTCCATGTTAGAATTGAAACCATTGACAGGCAGATTAGGACTTTCTTTCAATTCTCGGTTAAAACTTTTCCCGGGAAAACAAAAATCGAGATGGTCTAGGCCATTCGAGGTAGTAAAACCTTTCTCCCATAGTGCCAAGTCCACCATCGATGAACATGAGTTTAAAGTCAACGAATAACTATTTAAGCACTACACTGGCTCCCATGTTGAGCGCGATAAAGGAAGTGATTACGCTAAGAGAATCATGAATATGATCTCCTTCAGTATTTTTATTGTTGAATTTTTTTCCTTTTTTTATTTGTCTTTATTTATTTAATTTAGTTTCTCTTGTTATTTAATAGTTATCTTTCTGTTTTGCTTGAATTTAAGGATACAAAAACCCATAGCCACGAATTCTAAAAGCATGATTCACCCAAGTGATGAGGTTAAGGACAGAGGATTTCGAGCGCACCACTAGCAACACGTTCCCAACCACTGCAAGCAACAAACAAAATCAAACAAACGACTCAAAGGACAATTATCATTCAAGGTAACGACCTTTCTGAGTAACCCATTCATTTTGCATGCATTGAGGATAATGCTCATCTCGAGTTTGAAGGGGTTTGTTTTATAATTAGTAGCATTCATTTAGTCATCTAATTTAGTTGCATCTTGAGTTTGGGGGGTTGTTATTAGTCTTGTCATATTGCATGTGTTATGTCATACTTTGTCATTTTGCATTGTTTGTGTTGTTCAATCAAGCTTTCCATGACATTTACTTTTCATGACATTTAGACAAATAAACAATTGTTGAGCCTTTATACTTACCTATGATGAGATAATTGCCGATAACATTTTAATGTCGAGAATTTTAGGACTTAAAGATAATTTGAGATTGCCTTTATGATTATTGTGATGCTATATTTGTTTACCAAATGTCGTGTTTAGTTGACTTGTGGGTATTTTGGAGAATATTTAGTTATAATGCATTTTTGTTTAAGTTCTATGTGAGTTTCAAGAGGTGCCTAACTGGATCTAGCCAAATAAATTGTCACAACAAATTTTTAGCTCTAGAAAAATCCACTGCTAAAGCAAATTCAGTATGCTTAGTGAATACTAAGTAGGAAATATAGTCGTGAATAACATGAGTGAGTGAAAGTCTTCACGAGATGACTCTACCTAAAAGGCTAGGGGGTTCGTTGTTGATAGCTTCTTACTACTCAAGTACTTGCAGGTAGTTGTGATAAGCTGAAGCTCTAGTTAAGCTAATTAATTACTGTAACTTCTTTTGCCTTATTAATTAATTTGATAATTCTATTAGTCTCTGCAAATATCCATAGTGGTGAACCTTCTTGACTAAGAGAACACACTTACACGAGCATCAAAAGTTGAATTTAGTTAATTTCTGGTTGTCTTGAGGTTTGAAGATGATTGGTAGAAAATTTCTAAGGTTTTGAGGTAACAAATGCAAAGCAAGGGTAAGAGTGATGTTGTCTAATTGCTATGAAAAAAAAGTGGACGTCATGCATTGCTTGAGGACAAGTAATAATTTTAGGATAAAGATAAAAGAGATTTATTCTCTCTTTTATTCCAACTAAAACTCATTTTCATCAATAACCAATTTGACCTAATCTTTTCCTATAAATTAAGAATCAAACGCACAAGAAAAGGGGTGGTAAGAGAGAGAAAAGCTGAGCACAATGTTCTTCTTTATTTTTTTTCTTTTCTATTCATGTTGTTGGGGAATCTTTATCTTGTATCTTTTTGCACCCAACCATGAACTAAATTTAATTGGCTTGGGTTATTGGGTTTTTGTGGTTGTGAAAAATTTTGGATTTGTTTAAGTTTGCTTATTTGATTGCGGTTAACGCATGGATGTATCGCTAAGGCATGTACAATTGACCAGTCCTTCGATTTAGGGATAACTAAAAGATATTGAAGAACGCTCTTCCATGTTTTGAAGGAGGAAACTCAGTTGCTACGGCAATTGAATCATTTTCAGTTGTCAAGGCCATCGGGTTGCCTCAGCAATCAATTACCAGACTATCCAAATAGTTGTCACACCACACTTCCCAATAACCCGACTTGTTCTCTCACTTGATATCACTATACTTTTATTTACTTGCTCATTTATTTTATTTGTTTATTCACACTCCTACTATTACCAATTTATTTCTTTTTACAGTGCAAGAAGTTAGAATACATAGTTTTACCAATTAATCTGGAGACGATATTTTTCTATACTATAACTTGCGACATGTACATTTGTACCAATTGCGAAGGACTTAAATCACGCAACAATTTTCCTTTTCACTTTAGATTGTAGTTTATAGTGTTTTCTAGGATTGTTTATCTATTTGATTTTGCAATTTTTTCTGGGTTTGATTATCATCATACCAGGTCTTGTGCACCTAAGATTGCAAATTGAGTTTTTGTTTCTAGGTTCGGTCTGTTTAATCCCATTTGAAATTTATTTTTTGGTTTATATAATAGTTTTTGGTTTGGAAAATGTTAAAAGTTTATGCTTAAATTTCTGGATAGTGGCAGGGAGGATGATTGGACATGTTCTAGTTGTGTGAATATCAATTTTCATTTAGGACTACTTATAATATTCCTAGTTGCACTCAACCAATGCCAGTCGAAATCCATTAAGTCTTGCTCTTATCTCTCGATAATTCTCTACATTTCTTTCAAAAATATTTTGTTTATATAGGATTATAATCTTATCCCCTTATCACTCTCCTTTTTTCAAATTAAATTCCCTTATCAACCAAAACACCTCACCAAAATAAAACTCATACCCTACCCACGTTAACCACAAAAAAATATAGCCTCTTCCCTTCCTCTTATTCAATCGACCGAACCTCAAATCACTATTACCGTTGCCCCACTTCACCGTAATTAGCCGAGCGCCGCCATACCTTTGCCCCGCCATCACCGTCGAACATGTCATTCCACCACTGAACTTTCTTTCGTTCTTCTTTAACTGATCAAGAAATCAATCAGGCAATCCATCATGCCCACCGGTCACCCATGGTGGTGGTCGTCGCTGATTTGTTGCGCCTCCGGTGATCGAGGTACCGAGCGGTTCTAACTCTATGCCTCAACCACCACCCGTTCATGCACCTATGCTTGCTGTGGAGGGAGACAAAGAGGGCACACCTTCTTCGTACCGACCGATAAAGTATTTCAAGGTTATCTCAACTTCGACGATAAAGAGGCTTGGCGATTCGACAATATCCGACACATTAAGTTTCAAGTTTGTAAGTATAATCCTGATCACACTCTTGATTCCTTGCATTTGCGTGATTATGTCATTAATTATTTTGATGCAATTGGTTGGCGTTCTTATTCTGAAATTTAATATGCTACATATTACGAATTGGTTTTTGAGTTTTATACGACTTTTACATTTTTGCCAAATCGTATTGCATCTAATACTACGCCGGGTGTGATTTCATTTAGATTACTTGGACGACATTTCGTTCAGTCCTTAGCGGATTTTAATTTTTCTATGGGTTCATAAAGGATGTCACGGACCATGCTTTTGTAACTGCTTTATGTGAGATTATGTAGGACTTCGACTTAGATGTGGCATACGAAGGACTTACTGATTTTCTCGGTGCTACCTACAATGGACGCAACACCAAGGGATGCCATATTCATGATCATTCCCTCCGCTACATACACCGATTCCTTGCATATAATTATTCCGGGCGTAATGAAACTACGTCCTCGCTAAGTAAGGTTGAATTATTTTTTCCTATGGTGGATGCAAAACGGTATGAAGGTAAATTTGGGTTTTTGGTTTGCACACGTCTTTGAGCGTGTTGTGCGTTCCGATACCCATTAATTCTCGGACCCTGCATTACTCGCCTTGCATTTCGTTTTTCGTTAACATTTGATTCTAATCAATTTACTTATGCTTTTGCAATGGATCCTTTGGATGCTAGGTGTTTGGATTCAATGGGACTACTTGTCGGAACTCCCAGTGTGTCGTACATTGTTCCTCCCGGCTCGGTTACACCGCTTAATGAGCTCGTATTCCTTCAGAGAACTACTTAACCCGCGGCACCAGAGAAGCATCCACCCTCATACGTGCATAATGAAATCCATGAGGTGCAGGGCCGGCTAGACTCCATCAAGACCAACATTGTCGAGGTACTTTTGTACCTTCACCGATGGTCTTCTAGAAGTGGCCGCGACCGCGGTCGACATTGACCGGGGAGTATTTTCACACTCTCTCTTTTGCATTTTACTTTTTATTCTTCATATTGGGGCAGTATGATTTTAAGTGAGGGGTTGAAATTAGAAATCAAATTAGCCTTTGCTTATTCTTTGTGATTGAAATTGAGTTATTTCTTTATTTGAATTGTTGATAATCTTGGTTGTCGATCTTTGGTTGGTTTAATTTCTTTGTGTTTATTTGTGAATTCAAGCATGTTCTTGTTAAATTTAGGATTCAAGATAGCATGGCACGATTAATTTAGGTAATTTTTTTGTGGCAATTTCATGAATTCATTCATTGAATTGGATGCATGACTTAGTTCAATAAGCCTTTCATGTGAGTTTTGAGCTTAATGAGCATATATTTTATTCTTGCTCTTTGTTTCAATTGAGTGTGCCGAACTAATTGATTGCATTATAGAATTGTAATTCGATGCTTGTTGAGACTACACTTTTTATTATGATGTTATGATATGATAGAGGCATTAGGATTAAACCCATTTCTTTCCCCAAACAAAATAGCGTACCCTTTTTATTTTCCCCTAGTGAATCACTTTGAGCCTTATATTCTTTTCTTTGATTCACCACATTTTTAAACCCGATCAGAATTTGTTTTTCCCTCTTTTTGTTACCCTTCTTCAAGATAAGGTGAAATTATTTTCGAAAAAAACCAGAAAAAACTGTTCAAAAAATACCATGCATAATCAAACAAGACGATCCAGAATTTACACTGTTCAAACAGCAGAAAAAAGCAGTGCAATTTGGTTGGATCAGTGCAGAAATTCAATATAGAAAAATTCAAACAGTGCAATTTTGATTTGAGTGAGCCGAAAATTCAGTGTAGATTTTTTTTAGTTCGAGCAGGAAAAAAACAGAAAAAAAGAATGTTTCAAAAAAGGAAAAAGAAAAAGAAAACAGAAAAAAGAATGAATTGAGCTTTATTGAATTTCTTATTTATCCTTTCTTTAATTTCCTTCACTTCCCTTTGAATAAAATTTTGGAATAATTTCTTCCTTGTCTTGGAATTTTAAAACCCCATTTATCGGCCTTTATCCTCCCAAACCTTAGCCCCGTTACAACTCGTTTTGAAGTCCTCTTGATTGTTTTATCATTTTCATACTAAGTTAGTGGAGATTAGATTTAGTTACAAGCCTATGGTAATGTGTCGATTAGTTTAGGCTTGAGTGAACCCATGTGAGGAACTAAGTCTTATATTCTTTGAAATTGATGAATGATTGAAATGCCATGATTGATTTACACTTAATTGATTATGCCTTGCTTTATTGATCTGGAATTTCAACATTTACTTGACTGAGTTTGCCTAGAAACCTTGTAAATTATGTTAAATTTAGATTGACAACTTTAGATTTTTGGCATGGCAATTGAGAAATGCTTGATGACAAACATTGAATAAGTGAGGGGGAATTTGATTATTGTTTAAATTATACATTATTTTATGATTAATTACTCTTTGATTAGATAATTTTAGTTGTTAACTTGGGCATTTTCATTCATTTTTTATGCAGGACATTGAATTATATAAATTATGCTAAGAACAACGAAATCGTACAATTTTTTATTTTTCTGCATTCATGATCGGATTAGTGGGCACGACTTAGGACATGACACACCTGACATGGCATCTAGTCAGTAGCTTCTGTGAATGGTAGCTGACATGGCGATGACATGGCAGGTGATGTGGCGCCCAGTCAACAGCTTTTAGAAGGCCCAGTCAATAGCTTCTAGAAGATTCAGTTAGTAGTGGCGTGAAGACCAATGACTCAGCCAAATTTTTGAATTCAAATTAGGATTTATTTTATTTTTATTTTAGGAATGATGTTTTTAGTTTTAAATGTTATCTTTTAGGTTTTTTTAGGACTATAAATACCACATTGTGGTTAGCCTCTAATTATCGATTTCTTCATTCAGAACTCATTCAACTCTTGTTTCTTTCTTTAATTTTTTATATAAGTTTTTTTCTTTTTTCTTTTCAAGTTTTTAGTTTACTTTTTTTAAATTGCTAAGCATGAATTCAATCATGCTTAGCTAAGTTTTTTATAGCCGGGGGCTGAAGCAATGACTCGATTCTAAGTCGAGAGGATCAAAAAGTACTTCATACCATCAAGGGTTACATTTTCAGTTTTCAGAAATCAAGGATCGGTAATCGACCATCCTTTTACAATCAAAGCGATTTAATTCCAAAAAGTGCACGTTGGAATTGAATTTCGGTTTCGATTAATAGTTGGGAAGAATGATCGGCTTGTGGCACAATCGACTTCCTGTAAACATACTTAGCGGCGGTGCGCTAAGGGAAACTAAAATCGGGTTTGATTATCAATTGAGACGATAGAATCCGAGTCTAGTTTTCCAGAATTTAAAAGTGTTGAATTAATAAGCGATTGTTGCTATTAACTCACAAAGAGTTGAGATCTGAAAATTGATTTTAGATTCTCGATTCATTTGAGAGAAAAACAAGTTACATGGGTTGAGCCCTGTAGAATGTAACCGGCATAAGCCCAGAGGTAAAATCCTATTCAAGTATCGATTAAAATCGAGGCAAAAGCTTTAGCCCAAGGCTATTTTTACCAATTGAATTTTATTTTCTTAATTTACTATTTTATTTTATTTCAATCATTTTTATTACTTCACTTCAACTCTCCAAAATCTCCCCTCTAATTTCTTTTACAAATCACTCCTAAGCAAGATCAAAAGTGAGAAAATCATCAAACTCCTAGTTCCTATGGATCGACCCTTACTCTCTTACTATTCTACTTATTCTTATTTATTTTATTGAGATTAAGAATATTTATTTTAACATAATAACGACGTGTGTCACTTATTTCGTGTTATTAGCAGTATGACATTGTTTGGCTCTTAACATCATTGCAGGAGGAACAAATGGATCTAGAATCGTTTGAAATGTAGGGAAAAAAAGAACAAAGAATAAAAACAACACGAAAGAATTCACTAAAATATCAGAACCTAGTTTGGTTATAACTTATAAGCCCACCATGCTGCTGTTGCACCACTGATATATATATATTTTTAACCAATCACTATAATTATTCAATCCCTGTTAGTTTGCTTGTGTGTATGTAACACTTTTCAGAATATTTGTATATAGTGAAAATTTTCTATTGAAAAAAGATTAGGGTAGGGTAGGGTACGATTGCTTGGGTTCATTGTACTATGCAGCTGCCCCCAGATATAGCCACCTGTAATGCTTGATACTCCTTTCTTCTTTGTAATATGCCACCTTCTTTCATTCTGTTCTTATTGCAGCAGTACAACAGAAAAAAAAAAAAGTGAGTGCCTGCGTTTTATGTCTTTTGCAACGTAGAAGGAGAACAAGTTCAACCCATTTCTTACTCCAGGTTTCTTCTTGTTTATCTGTATACATGTTGTTTAAGCCTCATGCCAAGTGAAAATTTTTGTTTCGTTTCTCTAGTATGCTATTTGTGATTGCAAGATATCAAATTTTCTTTGATTTAAAAATAATAATAATAGTATTACGATTTAGGGGTCTTGAATTGAATTAACCATTTTCAAACCCCATAAAAATCCCACCTTTAATCTCAATATATGAACTTTGGACCATCAAGTTTTGAGCTTTGAAATCTTTAAATGAAATGGCTCTGCTCTCTCATGGTTATTGCTTAATCTAAACCATTTATTTGATTGTTTACTGATTACGGAGTTAGGAAGAGACAAAATTTTAAGTTAGAAATTGAACTTATAAAATTCTTAAGAGAGAACGTCTAATTATTAATAGAAAATACAAATAAAATATTTAAAATAGACGAGAATTTGAAATTTTCAGGAGCGACTTAATCGAATCATTTGTTTTCGATGAATGACCTGTTTTCGAAGTTGCAGGACAGGAAGCTTCGCTATGATGGAGCGTTGAGACAGCTGATGGATGAGAATGCCGGGTTGCGCAAAGGTACACTAATCGAATCATTTGTTTTCGATGAATGACCTGTTTTCGAAGTTGCATCTAGCGCTCTGATTGATCTAGGTTATTTTACACTAAATCATATAAAGCTTCCTTAATATTAGATTCTGGTTACAACTAATCCAGATTAAATACTGTAATGTCTCATTATAAAAGCGAGAAATATCGTTCTTTTGATAGAAAATATGTCAACTTAGAGATAGTGGGGATGTAAATGCTGAATTCAAACCTCAAACTTGCCTTTGTATCTGCTGTTACCGGATTAAACAAATTTGTTGTGCTTGGAACCAGAACAATTCGGTCCTACGAGGCTTCGAACCCGAAAGGAAACATCCTCGATGGTTCCTTGCACTGACCTGTTGGTTTGCACTCATTTAGATATATGCATACATACACACACATGAGATATTTGTGATTTTCAGTTTGTTGTTTGTATCTCACACATTGCAGACTACATTGTTTTAGTGGCATTCTTCTGTAAATACTTGTTTTCTATCCAGAAATTCGAAAGGGAAACAAAGAAAACATTAGGCTGAAGTGTGACCTTAGGCTGCAAACGAAGGAACTCGAAGAGTGTAAATCTAAGAAAGAGTTGGAGGAAACATCAGAAGCATTGGAAGATCTAGAAAGCAGTTATAGTTGTCTCATGATGTCACATCTACTAGCTAATCAAGAGCTCCAAGATGCTCGCAAAGAAGCTATACAAGTATATCCATGGTTTCATTTTCGATCTCTCGTGTTCAGGTTCTTTCTGGGCATAAAATCCCTTTTCGATTGATTTTTTTATGTGCAGGGTTTGAATGATATCTTGAATAGCAAAACGACTCTTGGAATCAAAAGAATGGGAGATATTGATCAGAAAGCATTTGAAGTTGCTTGCTCGCAAAAGCTGCCGCATAAACATTGGCGAGAAACCTGTGCTAAACTATGTTCATTATGGCAACAGAATGTGCTGGATTCAAAATGGCACCCGTTTAAGATGATCGATACAGATGGCAACTTGCAGGTATGGTGCATACACCCACAGTTGCTTTATGTTGTTGCTTTGGTACTTGGATTTAATTGAAAACATCTGTCGTAACCGGTTTTTGTCCGGGCACGAAATATTATACTTGGCGGGAAAATTGATGTGAATAAATGGTTTTTGAAAATAATTTGGGAGTCGCCATCGGCCTTTTTGGGTCAGGTAGGTCAAATACCTAAAAATTATTTTTTTTAAAAGAGTTTTAAGAAAACATCAATTAAAAAATTGAACTGATCTGCGTTTATAACCAAAAATTCGTTCTTTTTAATAATAAAAAGGGATTCGTGATCGGTTACGTTTAGGGAAGGATTAGCATCCCTACAACGCCCAAAATTGGTACTTTTTAATTATAAATTATCTCTATTATTAAAAATTCAAAATATATTTAATTTATAATCCTATTTTTTCAAAATTATAAAAATATTTATTTAAAAATATCGGAAAAAGACTTCTAGGTGCCTTAAGACAGTTCTTTTCTTTGATATTAATAAATATTAAATAATATTTTTTATAATATTTAATTTTAAAATACCAGAATAGGACATCCAGTTGTATTAAGACTGCCCTTTTCTTCGATATTTGAAAAATAAATATTAAAACAATTTATTAAAAATATATATAAATTATTATTATATATATTTATGACTATATAACAATAATAAAAGTATTTAAATATATAAACAGATAAAACAATAAAAATACAATTAGAACGATATTTAAAAGCAGTAAATAAATTTAAAATTAGTGATAAATTATAGTAAAATTAAAATTAAAAACCTAATTCATAATTAATCAAAATTATAGGGATTAAACATACTATTTTCTTATTTTATTAATTTAATGACTAAAATAAAACTATATAAAATTCGGATATTAGAATAAAATAAATTAAAACATACTATTCAGATTAAAATATTAATTATTAAAATTATAGGACTAAATCTGTTATTTATCCTAAATATATTATTTTAATAAAAAGGACTAAAATAAATAAAACTAAAATTTAGAGATCAAATTAAAAGGTTTATAGATTCGATTTAGTGACTAAATTATAAGAGTTACAAGTTGAAATGGCTTCGGACGGGGTTTACCCTTTATGAAATGACAGAAATACCCTCCCCAAAACGATGTCGTTTGGGAGAGGGTATTAATACCCGAAACCGGCTGGCCCTCTCATTTCTTCCTTTCTGTTCTCTCTCTTATAGAGAGAGACAAATTTCTCTCTGGCTTCTATCTAGCTGAGGGAAGCCGGTCGTCGGCCGGCAGTCGTCTACCGCCGCATTTTACGCCGCCGGCTACCGCATCCGGTGGCCGGAAATTTTTTTTTACACCTAAACGTAGATCGGACCATCCTATTGATGGTTCCGATGACCGTTTCCTTTAAAACAATACCTATCAGAGCAAATCTACAAAAATACCTTCGGTTTTCAAAGGTTTCCGATGATGTATAAGGGCTTCGGTAAGTATTTCTCCGTATTTTCCTTGCTTATTTTTGGGTTTTGTGTTTGCTGGTTGTTGGTTGCTATTTTTGTATCTTTGCTCTCGGGTTTTCTTTGCTTTTGCTGGTTATTGGTTGCTGTCTCTCCGTTCTTCCTCCTTTTTTTTTCTTGCAGGTTGGGTGATTGCTTTATAGCCATCACCGGTGTTCGTTTCGGACCGGTCCGAAGGGTAAAGTTCAGTGAGTCACCGGACCGTAGGTGGTGACTCACCCCATGGTTGGAACGTGGACGACGTTCCTTGCTTCCTCTGGATGTTTCTGTTGAAGCGTGGCAGCAGTTGATGGACGGGTCAGAGAGGCGGCCGGCGTCGTGGCCCTAGGGTATCATAACCCTAGGGTTTCTTGCTGGAACCATCTGGACCGTTGGATTTGGCAAGATCCAACGGTGGCAGGCTGAGGCGGCTGGGGAAGAGGGAAACCCTAATCTGGTTTAGGGTTTCCATTAGGCTTCTGGATTTGGGCCACCATTTGTAATTGGGCCTCCATTTTGGGCTTGGAATATTAAATAATATATATTAATAATTATTATTATTATTATTATTATTATTATAATAATAATAATTATAATAATAATAATTATAATAATAATAATAATATAAATAACATTAAAATGAAAAAAATGAATATCTTCAGCTGCCCCTCTTTGCTTATTCTTAATAAGAATAGAGCAAAGACGAAAAGATAATAAGTTTTTTTCATTTGACTTCACTTGATTAGTATGGAGATGTTGAATAAATTCTTCTCTTTCTTTCAGATGAGTTCTTCTCATTATGAACTTTCCGCTGGGGATGATGTTGACCTCTTTCTTTCTGTGATAGAGTCATTCAAAAGGTTGAATAAGCTCTTCTCATTATGAACTTCTTCTTCTCCTGATGAGTTTTTCTCATTATGAACTTCTCTGGAAAAACTGACCCACCAAGTGATGGGTTTGAGCAAAAAGCTGAACAAATTCTTCTCATTATGAACTTCTTATTCCTTCTTCAGATGAGTTCTTCTGATTATGAACTTTCTCTGGAAAAACTGACCCATCAAGTGATGGATTTGAGCAAAAAGCTGAACAAATTCTTCTCATTATGAACTTCTTATTCCTTCTTTAAACGAGTTCTTCTCATTATGAACTTCTTCTGGAAAAGCTAATCCATCAAGTGATGGATTTGAGCAAAAAGGTTGAACAAATTCTTCTCATTATGAACTTATTCTTCCTTCTTCAGATGAGTTCTTCTCATTATGAACTCGAACTGGAAAAGATAATCCATCAAGTGATAGATTTGAGCAAAAGGTTGAACAAATTCTTCTCATTATGAACTTCTTCATCATTCTTCAGATGAGTTCTTCTCATTATGAACTCGAACTGGAAAAGATAATCCATCAAGTGATAGATTTGAGCAAAAGGTTGAACAAATTCTTCTCATTATGAACTTCTTCATCCTTCTTCAGATGAGTTCTTCTCATTATGAACTCGAACTGGAAAAGATAATCCATCAAGTGATAGATTTGAGCAAAAGGTTGAACAAATTCTTCTCATTATGAACTTCTTCATCCTTCTTCAGATGAGTTCTTCTCATTATGAACTTCTTCTGGAAAAGCTAATCCATCAAGTGATGGATTTGAGCAAAAAGGTTGAACAAATTCTCTCATTATGAACTTATTCTTCCTTCTTCAGATGAGTTCTTCTCATTATGAACTCGAACTGGAAAAGATAATCCATCAAGTGATAGATTTGAGCAAAAGGTTGAACAAATTCTTCTCATTATGAACTTCTTCATCATTCTTCAGATGAGTTCTTCTCATTATGAACTCGAACTGGAAAAGATAATCCATCAAGTGATAGATTTGAGCAAAAGGTTGAACAAATTCTTCTCATTATGAACTTCTTCATCCTTCTTCAGATGAGTTCTTCTCATTATGAACTCGAACTGGAAAAGATAATCCATCAAGTGATAGATTTGAGCAAAAGGTTGAACAAATTCTTCTCATTATGAACTTCTTCATCCTTCTTCAGATGAGTTCTTCTCATTATGAACTCGAACTGGAAAAGATGATCCATCAAGTGATGGATTTAAATCTTTGCTAAAATCTTTGAAATTCCTGTCAAAATTCAACATGGATGAGAATGAATGAAAATGCACCTATTTTTGCAAATGCCTAAATATGATGCATGATTGTTAAGTTATTTGATTTCAGATTGGTGAACTGAATATTTCTTCAGTTGTAGAAACCCAATAAATCTTTCTTTTTCAAATCAGAGAATCTATCATCTTTGACAAATGTAGATATAATGTCACAAAATCTCTTAAGAATAAAACTCAATAGTATAGGCTCTTGAAAAGCTTGCATTCATGCAACATATTAATTCTGATAACAACTCATCTGATTATGAAGTGACCTTTTCAGATGATTTCACATTCTGATAACAACTCATCTGATTATGAAGTGATCTTTCAAGATGATTTCACAGATATCGATAGTTCTTTTAATACCGAGAAATCTTGAATTCTGATTCTGATGAGGAGAATAAACTGTTATACTTGACCAAAATGGAATTCTCAGAGGTTGAAGCTCAATAGCCCTGGAGAAATGTGGTCCAGATTCATCAATTGCAGAATTGACAAATTTTATATGTACTACTCAAATGGCTAGGGTTACTACACATTTCTTCCGGTAAAATATGGGAAGCCATTATGCGATGATCCCCATTACAAGAAAAGACGAAATTCGGGCTATGATTTTTGGGAAAAGAATAAACAGAAGAAGCTTGAAAAGAAGCTTATTAATGAAGACGATTATGCAGTTCATCTTTTAACTCCAATGATTGGTTCTGTAGTTCCTACCAAACCAGATCAGATAACTCAAAGAATACTTCCAGAAGATGCTATTAGCACATTCCTCTTCCAAATTCAATAACTGGTTCTGTGGTTCATACCAAACCAGATCAGATAACTCAAAGAATACTTCCAGAAGATGCTATTGGGTCTCCTTATTTCTACTATGAGCAAATTCATCTTTTAAATTTAATGATTGGTTCTGTGGTTCATACCAAACCAGATCAGATAACTCAAAGAATACTTCCAGAAGATGCTATTGGGTCTCCTTATTTCTACTATGAGCAAATTCATCTTTCAAATTCAATGATTGGTTTTACCAAACCAGATCAGATAACTCAAAGAATACTTCCAGAAGATGCTATTAGCACATTCCTCTTCCAAATTCAATAACTGGTTATGTGGTTCATACCAAACCAGATCAGATAATTCAAAGAATACTTCCAGAAGATGCTATTGGGTCTCCTTATTTCTACTATGAGCAAATTCATCTTTCAAATTTAATGATTGGTTTTTCCAAACCAGATCAGATAACTCAAAGAACACTTCCAGAAGATGCTATTAGCACATTCCTCTTCCAAATTCAATAACTGGTTTTACCAAACCAGATCAGATAACTCAAAGAACACTTCCAGAAGATGCTATGATCACATTCATCTTTCAAATTTAATGATTGGTTTTACCAAACCAGATCAGATAACTCA